AGAAAATATCATCAAGAGTATTTGATCAAATGGAGTGGATGCAATAGTGAGGAGAATACTTGGGAAAGAGAAAAAGACCTTTGAGCCTTCAAACCATTAATTGTAGAATATCATGCATTGAGGACACCGATGACGTTGCCAAAACAAATGGGGGGAGATTGTCAAGGACCGCACCTTCAACTAGCCCCTTGACCCAATCGCAGCCGCAGTTTGCCCAACTTCGACCGCACATTGTAATATTTTATTTCAATTGTAAAATAGCCGTGATATTGGAAAACATTTAGTCTGATTATCGGCATTTAAACGTCTACTCCTATCACTTAGGTTTTTGTTTAGAATGCTATTATAGGGGGTAGGGGGTATTAGTCTTTCAAACAATCTTTCAAGCTTTCTGGTGTTCGCCCCTTACACCAGTCATTGTAATTTTCCGCTTTCATCAATTGTAATTTTCAGCTTTCAATCAATCAATGATTAATTTACTTTCAATGTATTTCATTTTCATGTCGCAAGCTTTCTACAAATTGTAATCAAATTGTCTTTCGTCCCGATACGATCGAGAGAAGGCGGAAGGTAGTCTAGTTGAGCACATTACTACAGCATGGTGTTCCTTTTTGTGCCAAGAAGAAAGGCACCTCGTAAAACACTGGAGTTTGTTCCTTGGACTGAAATGGTGGCATTTTAACAAGCTTAATTCTGTATTACAGAGGGATTTAGCAGCATGAATTTAACGACATCTCTTTTTGTGCCCAGCAGCAGGATGTGTTTTGCCTTTAAAGAATCGTAGAATGGGTTATGCCCTTCTAATATCTGTCCATCCATGTTTCAGAAACGGCTTAATATCTGTCATCCATCGACATCATGGTGTTCGAGTACTGAAACATTTGATCACCTTTTTCCGGCTGCATTTTTGTCGCAATCCATCTAAAAGTCGGTGCGTTTTCTTCCCTTATTTGTAAACATGATTTTCGATCTTGGCAGGAAATGGCAAGGGAGTCCCAGAATGGCATATGCCTTAAGGCAAACCCTAAAACTCTCACCTAAACACGTGATGAGGTGTACGGTAAAGAAATGAAACGTACTGTAAAGCATGAGAAGGATTGTGCTAGAGAGAAATGCTTGGTGAACGGTTATAGATGAAAACTTTGTTCATAGACAAAAAGTTGTTTTTGCAGTCAAGGTTTTTGCCTAACACACAAATAGAATTATGCCAGTGCGAAAATGTTCTCCTGCTCGCGGCGGGCAAGCTTATCCTGCCCACCTGCTGATGTGGCAGGAGAACCCTACGTGGGGTTCTTTTCAAATGTGAGAACCCCACGTTGGGTTCTCTCCGAGTGGGCATTATAAACTTGCCCGCCGCGGGCAGGAGAACGGGAGCAGATAACGAAATAGATTATTCCAAAATCAGCATNGCGGGCAGGAGAACGGGACTGTATACCAGTGATAGCAGCAGATGAAATCACAAACCTGATTATTTTCTCATATATTTTAACAAGTTTCCGTTCAGATTTAAATACTATTTCAAAATAAAATAAAAAATGACTAAATTGAATTGAATATGAAGAAGCATGATAAAGGATAAAATTGAATTTTTATTTATTGTTGCATAAAGGAAAACATGAATAAACTAGAGAAAATTTTCCGGTCAGGTGGACAGACTTATAGCAACAGAATAGCGTCATCCCTTCCTCTTGAGAAATGAGAATTGAGGAGAACAAGTACATCTCCAACCTAAATTTTATGAGAAAACATATAAATTAAAGTTATCAGCTAATGTCATGTTGTAATGTGTAATGTAGTCAAGCCCTTGGACTCAAAGACAGTGTAATGTCTTGGAAAACTTTTAGCCTTTTGTCTACCTTCCTTTGGGGAAATCCAGTATCATTTCTTGTTTCCTCTGCCTTCTTGGTTTCACCGTCAGAACCCAAAACCGCGGCTATTATTGCATTCTCAAAATCCTCACTGTCAGGAAGCAAATCTACCCACTTGTCTTCTGTTTTCTCCAGCGAGGATGCCGGCTTTCGTACTATATTTTCCGGCTCAGCAGAAGATGTCATTTGCTTTCCTCCCATTTCATTTTCACTTGAATTCTCTGCATTGCCAGACCTTGTTCTCTTAAGGCTTTCTGGAAATTGCGGAGCAAATTTGGACGAAAAGAATGGTTGTGCATCGATATTGAGTGAATTTCCCCAGTAAACAACTGTCTTGACACTTTTTTGTACCGAGGGGATGTTAGAGTTGACATTCTCATCAGGAAATTCGATATCAGGTCTTGCAAATTTTCTGATAGGCTCCTTGCAAGGCTGAGGCTGCCAGATTGCAGAAGAGCCCAGAAATGCATCAAACAGCTTACTCTGCTCGACCCGATCTCCGCCCTTACTAATTATCTCAGATTCAAGATCTTGAAGCATTTGTTGTGCTCTCTCATAGGCCTTGAGATGCGAATCAACACCTCTAGGGCCATCAATAATGGCTGGTTTCACTCTTCTAAGAGTCTCTTTCGCCTCATCTATTCTCCCTTGTTTCATCAAACAAATGCCCAAATTGCACATTTTGTTGTTGTCGGGTGCAATCAGAAGGGCCCTCCTGTAAGCATCCTCCGCTTCAATGTAATTGTTTTGCTGCATCAATGCCCATCCTAAATTCCCCTTCAAAACACACAAAAAAAGAAAAAAAAATTGTTTGTTAATTCAATTCCATTCAGCATAAGAGAATCGAACTTTGTTTAGACAGAATTAGTACCAGCAAACGAGTTGCCTCTTGCTCCACAGAAACTTGAAATTTTTTCCCCTGTGATCTTGCTGTCTTGGTTCGCTTCCCGTTGAAAGCCATCCCTTGCTGAATTAGATACAATTTGTGCCTCAACAACGCTACTTGATCATCCAATCTTCCACATCTCTGCATTCATGCAAGTTAAAAAGAGGAAAATTAACAAGATATGATTCTACATATAGTTAACAAGATAATTGAAGAGGAAAATTCATAGAATACCTTGTAAAGGTCCACTAAAATGTTGTCAAGAGACTCTTGAGCTTGATCTGAACAGCGATGGCGCAGCGACTTAATTGCTTCAATGGCTTCTTCAGCCCTATTTTGCTGCTTCATCACAATGGCCATATCTTTCAGAGCGCTATCCACTCTATCACCTGCATTAATTGCTGCCCAAAACAACGGAATTGCCCTCTCTGGATCTTTATCCACTAACTGATACACAAAAGAATATCAGAGAAAACAATATAGGCTCAATTCAGCACCAAATCCACAATATCTCAAAAGGAAAACGGAACAAGCAATGAAAAAAAGATATTCTCTTAATAATGGGATCTGCGACTTACTTGAACATTTTTGGCTCGGACATAGGGGGTATGACCAACTGGGACTTTGTGGGTGACATGAAAGGACTCGGATTGAGTTCGTGAAATACCAAGAGGCTTGGCCGGTGATGAAGGAGCCGATTTAGTTGGTCTGAAACCGGGGGGCGCATTCCACATTTCCTTCATCATCTTCAATTTTTGTGGGTTTATCGATAACTAAATTATTTGCAGCTCAGAAGAAGGAAATTATGGAATCAGAAAAAATGGTGGTGGTTTCGGAGAGCAGAAATGGAAATAGAGAGAAGTGCAGAGAGAGAGAGAGCAAGAGAGGACAAGATGGCAGGGTCTATTCTTGAATTGGATATATTTGAATATTTCGCCCGTTGCAAATTACCGTTTCACGAACTAGCCGTTGCGAAAGTAAAAAAACTGTTTCCGCCTGCAGACCATTATTTTTCTTATTTTTATCGACACCCTAGAATTTCGCTGCTCCTAATACTAGTTTTCTTTTTGTCTTTTTATTTCCAAATACAATATTTTTCTTAAAAATGTGTTTGGTGTTTTAAGCCAAAAACGAATAAAATTTAATATTTTAGAGGTATTTGTAGTCTTCCTTTTTTTTTTTTTTAATTTATAGAAAAAAAGTTGATTTTAATTTGAAATTAATTACTTATTTGAATGTAAGTGGATCACACTGATTCATTATGTAATGGACAAAATACATATCAACTTCAAGTACGATATTGTCAATAAGAGTCCATTTCCACGTAGACTAGTTGAAGCANNNATTTCCACGTAGACTAGTTGAAGCATTGCATGGCATTATATTTAATTATTAATTCAACTATTTAAAAATTAGAAAAATAAATGAAATTATCATGTCTGAAAATATATTAAAGTTTAAATAATTTTAAGATGGGTAATTAACACAAAAATATCCCTACCATTTGCACTCATTACTAAAATAGTCCATATCATTTCAAATTTGGCATTTACACTTTTATTTCAAACATTTCTTGTGAAGTTAGTCATTTCCGTTATGTTCTACTAAATATTTCTGGGAAATAGTGTAATTAGCACAAAACTTTTCTATTGTTTGCCTTCTTTGCGTAAATCATTCCTATCATTTTAATTTTGATATTTGAATACTTTGATCTATCTTTTTTTTTTTTTTTTNGATTTTTGAATAGTGATATGATGGGAAATGTGTGGTTGAAAAGGAAGAAAAAGGTTATTGATGTGATGGAAAGTATTATTTTATTGAAAAATGTGTGGTTGAAAATGAGAATTGATTTACTGTAGAATTTGAGAATCAAAAACGAACAGGCCCTAGATAAATTCTTATATATGAGGCAAATGAAACTTGGATGAGGAAGAAGCACCATTTTGTGTGTGGGTGTGTGTGCGTGTATTTTTTTTTTTTTTTTTTTGCTATTTTTAATCCTTTTCTTACCTTTTCTTATACTTTAATTCACTTTTTAATTATTTTGGTGGTGGTGGGTAGGGAATGGACGTAGGGGTAGGAGGGGTTAATTGAGAAGATAAAATATTTTTTTCTTTTATTAATATATTTTAAATTATTTTACTTGAAACTCGTGTTTACTTTTTAAAAAGTTTGGAACTCTAGATAGAATTTTTTAAAAATTATTTTTTTCTATTTTTTTAATTTAAAGACGAGGGTAAATTAGTCATTTTACTATGCTTTAATGAAGAAAATAGACTGTAAGGACCGTTTGTGCAAAAAAAGGTCGACCCGAGTAGCCAAATATCAAAATTGAAATGATAAGGATGATTTACGTAAAGAAGGCAAACGATAGCTACGTTTTACGCTAATTACCCATATTTCAAGAATTGATTTAATGGAACATGACGGAAACGACCAACTTCATAAGAAATATTTGAAATATGGGTGTAAATGTCCAGTTTGAAATGATAAAGACTTTTTCAACAATAGAGACAAATGATAGGATTTTTTTTACTAATTACCCATTTAAAATAAAATAAATAATTGAAGAAATGAAATATATTGGGGCTCTAGTCAACCTACGTAAAAACAAGTGGGTTGATTTGCTTCGTGTGATTACGTGTTGGGCCTCCCTTCATAAATTTTGAGTCATGCTACTTGTACAAAATTAGGTTACAAAATTGGTTTATAAAGTATGTGTTGGCAATATCTTAGCCAATGATTTAAAAAATTTTTAATCAATGATCTAGATCTTGCTACATCATTTTATCAACACACTTTTGTAAACCACCTTTGTATAAATATCATAATTGCTTAATTTTTTAGGAAAAATTCATAACTACAAGTTTTTAAGAATTTAATTTCAAAATTAACAAACTCATAAAAAAAAAATCTAAAAAGTAGATGGTCATATTTGTGACCTCTGATTAAATGTTGTGACCTGTAATTTTAATTAAAACTGTTACAATTACATACCACACAATTTGTGGATCACGGTTACATGCTAAGCCCCCGTTTGGTATCCTTTTTTTTCTAATTTTTGAACAGGAAATTGAGTTTCTACAGTGTATTTGTATTAAAAAAATAAAACCAGTACACAGTTTGTCAGACACCAAAGTCTTGCCACTTGACCGTTGCAGGGAAACTACCTATTTTGCCCTCCAATCCAATTAATTGTGAACAGCACCCCCTCAAATATCATTTTACAAATGGAAGGGCATTTTCAGAATTTCTGTAAAAACATGATACCAGCATGTCGCTCAAAAACGTGCCATGCACGGCTGTCAGATATTGTACTCAGTTGAAGGACATTGGGGTCCACACAAAACTCAATTTCCTGTTCAAAAAATAGAAAAAAACGGATGTCAACGAGGGCAAAATCACAAATCAAACAAGTTTACAGTTACATACCATTCAATTTATATGTCGCAGTCACAAATTAAACAATTAATGTCACAAATTATTTATTTAACTGATCATGGTCACAAGTAAATATCTTCTCACCACCCCACCTCGCCCTTTCTATTACATCATGCTTCAGATCTATTGTCGTCGGATAGCCACCACTAACTCCATTGACCCGTTCCAACCTTCCACTAATTCCTTCTTTGGCCTTCGTTCACCATCCTCAGATCTACAACCACTATAGCCCCCTCTAGAAGGATTTTCCCCCCGTGTACAAAAGGCGGCCACCAGAATATTGCCAGAACAGAGAGAAATGCGTGGGACCCACCATGTGATTAAAAAA